CTACTACAGTTGAGTAATCAGTTCAGGCACCTGATGTCTTTCTGCTCTGAATTATGGGGGTCACTTTCCCCAGTCTGTTACTCCCAAAGCCGTAAGGAGTACTGCCTTTTTCTGCTAAGAGAATTGATCCCTTGGGAGTAATTTTTGCTTCGAATATATTCTTTCAATGAGACTGATAATGAAATCATTCTGAGTTGGAGACAGTGACAGATAATTCTGGGATACAGATAATGGAAGTAGGTATGTTTGGGAGCATTCATGCTTCTGAGAATGATAACTCCGTATCGCTTGTTACATCTGAAAGGACAGTTATTTACGGTTATCAAAATTTCTTCCTCTAAATATGTGTGCAAGCCAAGTCAAAACATGTCTCTGAATAAATAAGGATGTTCTACCTTAATAATACTTATCTTTGGAAACTTGTTAAATGAAATTCATAGCATGGGCTTAGCATCCTATCAGCATGTTCTGGTTAGCGGAGGTTACAAAGCCGGACCTTCACTGCAGATGAACGATTCAAGGTATCACCAGCAATTATGACTCCCACTGCATAGCAGACTATTTTGGAAAAGCTTTTGCAGGTCAACATGCTGTGGTTCCTATGTAAGCACTGGCTGTGCAATGGACGTTGTGTGCGATGGCACCCTGATGGCAGTGGTGGCCTCTTACCGCCCAGAGGTTTGCTGAAAAACCTTGATCTCTGTGGACCCACCAGGAGCGAGGAGTTGGACCCCATGCTGGTACCACACTTAGTGATATTGGTAGATATATTTATGCTGTCTCAAAGTAGTCACCCACTGCTCTTACGTTGCCTCTGCCTTCAGGAATCTTACGCTCTTGCAGTGGTGGCTACCTTTTCTTTAGGTTTATTTAACATTTCTTTTCATTGAACATCCGAAAGATACCCTACTGGTAGAACAATGGCAACGGGAAGTGAGAATGACTATGTAGTGGAGTCCATGATTAACAAACCTAAAGAAAAGGTAGCCGCCACTGCAAGAGCGTAAGATTCCTGAAGGCAGAGGCAACGTAAGAGCTGTGGGTGACTACTTCAAGACTCGTCCTACCTGTCTCTGGTAAGTGTCACCTATTCACTATAGAATTGGAGCAGCCCACAGCCATTAATCTCTTTACTTACTGGAAAGGATGATACTTAGGATGACACTGATTTTTCAGATGGAAGTTGAGGAACAAGCGAAATGGCTTTGCCATATCAAGCGCACAAGCTGTGGTGGACCAGGACCTCGAACTCAGTGCTCTAGGCTTCCAGGAGACCTTTCTGCTCCCATCTGGTCTCACCTTGGGGATTGGTCTTCTCAGCTGTATGCCTCCCTTCTGCCTCAGAGCAGTGGCAAGGCCAAGAGGTTACCTAGTTCCAGCTCTCTTTGATAGCTGTACATGGCGTATTTAAGAGGTCAACATTTCAGTACAAGGAGTTTAAAAGGGCCAATACAGTGACCTTGAGGGTGTTTTCAAATGCCTCTCTAGAAGGAAGTGGAAAGCTGTGAATGAGGTGGGCTAAGCTGCTCGTCATGTCCCTAGGGACCGTCGCAGTAACCAAGGGTGCTTCTGAAATTACCTGGGCTGAGATGGTGAATTCAGGATGGATCATAAAAACCTACCCATTACCATTTTCCTTTTTATTCTCATGGCAACTAGGAAGGTGCTGGGAACCACTGGGAATTACAATGTGGTCACCAACCAAAATCAGTGGCAGTTTGTGTAACAAATGTCAAAGGCAGAGCCTCTGATACACAATCATTGTGAGGCTTGTGTGCCTGCTTCCAAGGCTGAAATGAGATGTGGCTAGTGCACAGCCTCTGCAATAGCTCTGCCTGTGGAAATGGAGAGGCTGTAAATATAATTTCTGAGAAGCCACTGGGTGCCTGTTCCCACCTCTCTTCCACCCATTTTGGGGTTAGTTTAATGGGGAGTTTGTAGCCTCAGTGTTTGTGTTGGCATTTGAGTATGTGCTGTTCTTGTGAGAACCCATCTTTTATTTAGATGGCATTTTTCCAATCTGTTACTCATCAAGATGAATTGTTATCTCCTGCTGAAACAGATGTTATCTTTCAAGTATGCCTCTGTACTCTGTTATTGCTTCAAACGTGGCAGAACCCTAATTTGTCTTAGATGTTTCCTTGCTGTTCCAGATTTCAGCCAAAGAAATGTCTTGATTCAGAAAACCAACAATGGTACATTATATTAACTTTTTTTTTTTGAACTGAGGTTTATAAATTAAGGCAATTCAACAAAGCACTTATAAAAGCCCGCTGCTTTTCAGCAAAGCCTTAAAGCATCCACTTAAAGCCAGATGTCCACTTTCGTGGCTCTGATTCAGTAGAGCACTTGAACAAATGCTTCACGCTAATCTCTATGGTCTAGTAGCCATAAAATCCACCCAACTCTGTGTCTACGTCAAGCCAAAACTAGAACGCATAAATGCATCAGAACTGCTCAATGGATACTCCATTATTTTGACACCAGCGTCAACAGAAACCTCCATTATTTTCCTGCTTTTAGAAGTACATTCAATTAATTGATCATGATGGAAGAGTGTAATTATGAAAAGCATATACCGTGTACAACTTCAAAAGTTATCCATTTGATACACAGATATTAATGCACATTGGCTGTGTCCTGTTTGTACCTCATCTGCAATAACATCATATGGAGAAAGTAAGTTAACTTTAAGAAGCTTGAATTAATGCATAGCTAGAACAGAGCTGTCCATCTCCGAGATCTGATGGCATTTCGTGTAGATTATCTGGAGCTGAGCTCTGTAGTGCCACAGACTCCCCTAATTTCATAGCCAGTTGTCTTATGACTGGCTACTGATGCTGCCAAAAAGCACCTGCCTTTTTGAAGCTGTCAACAGTCATTTTGCGTTTTTATACCTTGACCTTGTTCTGCTCCTTGACAGAGTAGCTTCTGACATTCTTATTTAATATTCAGCTATCCTGCATCCTACACCTTTTTTTACCCCCTAGTGCTGGAGACAACGTCTACAAGAATGGCTGCATAAGGAGCAGGGTGCAGTGACATTTGCAGAGTCGGTGTGATACAGGCAGTAACAGGCACAGAAACGTACAGTTCTGTGGGTGTCTGTAGCCAGACAGATACAATGACTTTTGGAAATAGGAATTTGTAATTGCCTTCACATTCAACAATCATTTTACTGGGGGAACTAACAAATTCAGCTTTTTACTGGAAGTGCAAGTTGGAAAGAACACAGTGATGTTTTCTGAGCATCTCTGTGGTGTTTTCAACACTGCATGAGTAATCCTCGTACTATAAAATATGGCTTGAATTTTTGGTCAGGCTTCACAGACGCTGCTTTCAAAGTTGAATAGGCCATATATCTGCCTCTCCATATGAAGTGTTGCGTTTTTCTTAGCCTGTGTTATTTCTCTGCTCTAAGAAACCTTGCTTCAGCAAGCCCATCATTTCCAGTACTTCATGTAGCTGCATTTTTGCTCCAGCCTGGGACGTGGGATTTGCTATGAGTGGTTTACCACCAGCCTGATGTCTGACATCTTAGCCTTCCCTGTGGCAAAAGGAGACTGGAGAATTCGTGCAAACACACAGAGGATCTCTACTCCAAACAGCAATTACAAGTGAGACCTTTGCTGAATGTGATGATCAATAGGAGTGTGTGGGAGGAGGTAACAGCAAGAGGTGAACATGCAGCTCTGAAGACAAGCAACATGATAGTCAGAGAGATCGGAGCCTTTTTATTGCCTCAAACAAAATGGTGCTGTTGAAAATTACTGGTTAAGCCACGCTCCTCTTGGTCCCTTTAAACACTGCCTTCCTGTCTGGAAAAATACATCCCTGGGCTTGTTTAATTTTCTTTAAACAACTTTTTTTTTTGCTCACGCTGCTTTGCCTTTTCAGGCTGTTCCTAGCTCCTCTACAAACGACCAGCTAGGAGAGTTTTGTTAACGAGGCTTTCCAAATTCCTTCTTCTCCGCATGATTCTCCTTCCACCTAGGGAGACCCAGCCCAGCTCCTGCTGCTGCTGGCTGGAGGGCAGGAATATCCCCATGCCACTGCAGAGCTGGGAGCTGGGAGTGGAGCCTCCTCACAGGCAAACCCTGCTCGCTGCGTCTTTGTCCCCACAACCATCATGCCAGAGGGCCAAATGTCTCATGCCAGCAAAGCTGCTGCTCAGCTCCCCCCCGTTTTGCCCCAGCCTTGGCCTGGAGGCATGAGCCTGGAGAGGGCTGAGCCTGCCCCTCATCTTGCATGCTCTCTTTGGTGCACCACTGCTTTTCTTAGTGGGGGAAGCTGCTCCTGTCTTCCTCCTGGCCCAACCATGAGCATGAGGCTTGGGCAGGTTTGGGCCTGCCAGGGAGCTTTTCGGCCACGGTGTTGATGAACATGAGGCCACTGAGCTTGCAGAGCCAAGTGTCAGTAGGAAGGTCTGAATGGAGATGAGTGCACTGATGCTAGGTCTCCTTTTGGTGACTGTGCTTCTTCTCTCCCCAAAAGGAGGTGGCCTCATTTCACACACAGAGGATGGATGATGCTCACTGAGCACCTGCTCAGTAATATGATATTTAGCCTCAAGCACTTTTTCACAGTTCTGCTCCAAATACCAGCAGTTATTTTTATCCTGGGCCTTTTGATGCTGCTTCTTACCTTGCTCTGCATGGCCCTGAGCCTTCCCACCCTGTTCGCAGTCCCACCTGTCCTCATTCAAGCATCCCATCCTCATCAGCTGGTTGCTCACCATCTTTATCTCCCCCTCCCCCCCGACTCGTTCAGGTTAATCCTCCCATGCTGGCTCTTCCTCCCAGCTCCCTCACACTGTGCTTTTCCTTAGCCCAAGGGCTACTAACTCTCCCTCCCCTCAGATCCCTGCGTTGATTTCCAAGCCTGGTCTCCCTGATGGCCCAATCTCTACTCGCTTCTCCGGGTGTCCACCGGCCTCCCCCTCCCTCCTCCTTCCCGACCCCCACGGGCGAGGGAAGAGCCTCCCACTCTTCTCGCACAACATGGGGGCGACCCGGCCCTTCGCCGTGGACAAGACACAGGGTGTGCGGGCACAGGGTGTGCGGGCAGGCGGGTGGGCAGGGCGCTTTCCCCTCGTTCGCCCTCAGAGACGGCTCCGCCGTTTGTGCCGAGCCCGGTTGG